AACAGTTCGGCCCTTAGCGGTAAGAAACAATCGATCGACTCGGATTCTTCTCTGGGCCTGTATTCGATAACTCGATTTATGCAGTCGTTATGAGCACATAACGATTGCATAACGAGTTATAGAATTCCGCCTTGGTGAGTCGTTCAAAAAGGAGTTGTATAACTCTGGTCAGGGCGCTCATTCTCTGTCATTATCTACCAGCCTAAATCGCGTTTAATCTGACTTGGTCAGAGCCTAGCTCTAGTAGTTTTTTTAAAAAAAACTAGCTTCGTGCCGAGGGGTTGGATCCCATTCCTGAATTGTCTAGATTGTTAGACAATCGGTGATGGTACCAACTTTACCCTTATTAGAGGAGCTCGTCACGTCTACCAGTCTCTTGGAATCGCTCGAGGTACAGCACCACTTGTGTCCCACTAGAACTAGCAGTTAGGGCGTATGACTGAGTCAATTTTAAATGTGATTTTGCGTAAAACAGAGGTGACGGACTCGATACAATCGATTTCGTCTTCTTTCGTATGGGGCTTAACTCTTGTTCGGCATTTATCGCGTGTTTCCCAAGTACTCGTCGCCGTGTGGTGTTGATTCCACCGATCGAAATAGAAATCTTATCATGAGTTTTGTAAACGTGGAGTGCCGCAGTGTCGCGCGAAAGACTTTATAAATAAATAGTCCACGCGCGTTTATAGTATACGATTCGCGAGTGTTTAACGCGAGTGTCCTGTGCGAGAGGATGTCAACCCGAATCTGAGAGGAGGAGGAGGTCTGGCAGAGACATCGGGCACCGGCGGAGCAACTCTGCGGTAAATATCATTTTTTGATTATTACAATCTTTCTGTTTAATCTTGAGTCGTTTTATTTTAATTTAAAAATGATAATTTAAAAAAAGAATTATTTTAAAATTATTTTGAAATTTTGTAAATACGTATTTTTAAGAAAATGTATAATTATTTTTATAGATATAACTAAATGGTGAATTAAAAAATTCGATGCTTATAAAAATTATATATTTAAAGATTTACATGATTATTTTCAAAAAAATTTTGTATTTAGTAAATATTTTTAAAAATATTAGTTGATTTTTTTACTGTTCTAATTTGGATTTTATATATTTCTAATTTGAATTTTATTCTTTTTGTTACAGAATCATCGTTGATATAACTCCACCGTTGTGCATTGGGTTGGTGAGTAATGTATTCATTTTTTTATTGAGGTAACAGATGTATGATAAATATGTTTCATTAATATATTTACTATATATCCAGATGCATATATGCATTAATTTAATAAAAATATATTGATAAATGCATGTACAGCATTTCATACATCCGTTGCCTTGAAATGGATAAGTTATAATAGATTAGGATAAACTTAGTCCTGAATGCCTCTTCATTTAGAATTTATTATGCATATACTGTTAAATTTATAATTTTACATTACATCCAGTTTGAATTATTTTTAGTTATTTTTGTAAGTCGCTACTACTCTTACTCAATATTTCGTTAATTTAACTAAAACAATAGAATAAAACTGTTTAATTCAAGAAAATTATTAAAGGCTAAAATTTTGTAAATTTATACGTTAATGTGAATACTTTTATACTAATTAAAGTAATTCAAACTTAATTTGATACTAACAAAGGGAACACCAGGTGATCAGGGATTTTAATGCGCTCTTTAGGCTGTTTTTTTAGCAAAAAAAAAAAACAATACTGGCCGTTTCAGCCATTGGCCTATAGTTTCGAAGAAATCGATTTTTTAAATAATTATTGTAATTATTTGAAAAACGTATTGTATAAATGAAAATATTAGTATTTTTTAAATTTTATTTAAATGTTATTAGTTTTAATTATTTTTTGATTGTAATGAAATTTTATAAAATTACATATTATAGATAATTAAATACACATTTATGGAATACTTATTGTTATCATCGTTATCGTCGTTGTTGTTATTCACACGAACGCATAAATAAGATTGTAATGAAAACTGTTACGGTTTTTGATAAAATTAGAAATTGAAAATAAATTATGATTAGGAACAAGTAAGTCATATGTTTCTTCTTTTGATTAACATTAATTGATTTATTAATAATAATAGAAAACTAATCGTGTTTTGTAGACGTACGGTGATATAAATCATAAAAACAAGAAAAACATAAATATTTTCTGCATTGTGAACATTTTATACAGTAACTTTTTCTAATATCTGGTGAAAAGCAGATTTGATTGACATTATGGAAAAAATATCTTCTTTCAATTTTGATAAGAACCAAATTTTTTATTCTAAAATAAAATTCATTCTAAAATTCATTCGGAATATATTCACAATGCAATAAATATTTATCTTTTTCTTGTTTTTATGAAATATATCATTCCGTACAATGTACGTCTACAAAACACGATTAGTTTTCTATTATTATTAATAAATTGATGTTAATTAAAAAAAATTAATGTTAATTAAAAGAAGATTACAAATATATGACTTATTTATTCTTATTCATAATTGCCAATTTCTAATTTCAGATACTGTAACAGTTTTCATTATAATCTTATTTATGTGTTCATGTGAATAACAACACGACGACGATAACGATGATAATAATAAATATTCCATAAATAAGTATTTAATTATTATCTATATAATATTAATATGTAATAATACTAATATGTAATTTCATTACAATCAAAAAGTTCATTACAATTAAAAAATAACATTAAAATAAAGTTATAAAGTTATAAAGTTTATAAAGATACTGATATTTTTATTTATACAGTACGTTTTTCAAATTACAATAATTATTTAAAAAATCGATTTCTTCATAACTATGCGCCAATGGCTGAAATGGCCGGACACATATCATTTTTTTTTGCTCAAGAACAGCTTGTAAAGCATATCAAAATACCCAACCCCGTCACCTGATGTTTCTTTTGTAATGCAATCTCAATGATATAAATAGACTGATTCGATGTGGTTTTTTAAAAATGTTTTGCGTTTTCCTCTTTACATCAAAATATTACGTCTTGGTACATTTGAAAATAAAAATAAAAGATAATAAAATATTCGTATTTTTTAAATATGCGAAATATAGGAAATTAAAAAATATAAATAATATATGAAAAGCAGAATTTCAAAATACATTTTGTTCAATATTTCATTTTTTTAATTAGAGATGGCGTAATATATTCAGTGTTGAAAAATTTATATTATAATACTCTAAAATGTTTAGAAAACATTCTTTCAGCAGGTAATTTTTACACTATTTATTTTAGAGAAAATCAAGTTTAAAGAAATATAAAAAATTACTTAAGTATAATTGTATATAAAATTATGCATAATTGTGTATGAGCAATTTTTTTCCAAACTTGTTTTTTTCTAAAACGAATAATGCGAAATATGAATATTTATATATGTTTATACATATTTATATATACACTGAGAAAAAAATAGCCTAAATTTAATTAAATATTGCCAACTAAACATTTACTTACAATAAATAAGTATTTACTTAATAAAAAGAAGTGATTGTTGAATTAAATTCCTGTTTTTGTGCCAAATAAATGTATTTTTATGTTTAATAAATATATAGTTGGTACTATTCAAATGAATATTTATTGAAATTTAGGATATTTTTTTTTTCGTTGTATTAATGTATAAAAAATTTTTTATCAAGAAATATTATTTTATTATTTTTCTTATCTATCCTATATTCGAATATTTGTTCAGGATTAAATTTTATATATAAGTTGGTGTAGAAAAACAACATAAATATACATATGTGTTGAATACATATTGTATTCTAAGATATTCTTTTAATTATTTCATTTTAATTTATGTATATGTTATTAAAAAACAAAAAAAAATTACAACGCATATACAGTTTTTTGATCTCGCTTCTTTATAAAAGACATTTTACGATTATTAATTTTTGCTATTTATTTCAATGCACCGACTTTAGCTTAAGCTTTTATAACTTATCCATACATAGTAACTGGATTTTATACCAGTTAAAGAGTAACATGATGTAAGATCCAATATACGTTTTGTTAAAAAATAAAAGAATTTTATCTTGTATAATTATTTTAAAATCGCGTTTAAAACTTAAAATACTTAATTTTGAAGTAATAAATTTTACAAAAATGATTCTAATAATTCATAAAATACAAAAATATATGTTTATCAACGCATACAGAAAAATATCAATTTGCTGTTAAGAAACGTGATTATTCGATTTATTTTCCTTCTCTTAACGGTTACTTTTAACAAAGAATATTTTCTTGATAATAATCTTAAAATACACTTATTACAAAATTTTAGAAAAATTTATTAGTATGTACACAAAACAAGAATTTTTTTCTTTTGAATATTATAAAATTAATCAAAGAAACGAATTTTTTCTAATGAGCACATCCAATTTGTAATTTAAACTTGATTGAATTATTAAACTTGCTAGGATTCAGGATATATTTTAAATAAATTTAATGCTTCTGATAAAATTACTAATTAATAGATTTGCTAATATATGAACTTTTGAAATACTTGAAATAAGTTATTGTTACTTACATAGACTAATTATTACTTGCGTATTTTTCTGTGTGCGTATGTGGGAAAATGATCCCTTTCGGATCTTGCATCATTCATCTGAATTTTTATCTCCGCATACTTTGAGATGAGATTCAGCAACGAATCGTTCGAATCGTTAAAAATACGTACGTACCTTGAATTTTATCGGATGACAATCGATTTTAAGTAATTTTCAGTTTATTTTTAAATTAACGTTTTATTTATATTGTAAAGTTTTTATTAAGAAATTTATTCTAATTTTATAATATTTGAGACTCTTGAAAACATTGTTGACATAAAGATTTCTTAAAATTTAGATTTATTTTAGTAGAATATTTATATTTTTCATTTCGAATAAACGCGAATAGAGAATAAATGCGAAAATTATTCATATCTTAATGGAATATTATTATTATTACTAATAATTGTTCGTGTAATATTTAATTAATTTCATTAATATGATGGTCCTTTCGCGACGCGTTCGTGTTTCGCGCATCGTACAAAAGTAAGATCTTACGCTTATTGCCGACTATGTTAGTCGGCAACAAAAAGGAGTATTTCTCCTTACTGTATATTTCTGGCATATAAAGCCAGAATATTGGTCAGCAATGAAAGGTGAGTTCAATCTGGCCAGAAGAAAGAAGAGGATCTGTACGAAGTAGGTTGGTGTGTAACACCAATTTGCTCTTAAAGAGTGTTACATAAAGATAAATTAAATTCGGGAGGGTAACTTGCTCGCAAATTGCGAGTTCTTATATTTTTTTAAATTATTGTTTATTTAAAATACAAAAATAACCAACAAACAACAGGGCTAATCAGTGTCGATAATCAAGCGCAAGTTTTGTAAATTTTTTTAATCTAAAAAATTTGTGTTTGATTATCCGCTGACTTTCATTACCCTCGTTATTTGTTAATTCTTTTGTATTTTAAAGATTAAAAATCTCTTTTAATTATTATTGTTCATTGCTCATTTATTTAATATGATCGCGATTAGGTTATTGAATTTATTATATTAGGTAGGATATTAGACATTAGATGTTGCGTTCATTAGAGAAAGCAACTTTGTAACTGTTGTAAAATTCTTTAATATGATTGATTTATAATTTATATATTTAAATTCATAAGGAAGCAAAACAAGGACCAATCGTATTGAAGAATTTTACAACTTTTACAGCTATTTTTTGTGCTGAACACAGTGTATTAACGTATTGTATTTGCGATGTTATTACATATTAATGAAGTAATGTAGGTAGGAATATATGTGTGGAGATAGTACGCGAATAGGTACGAATAAATGAAAATACGGGTAGGTAGGACAAGTATGGATAGATAGGGATTGTATAGGTAGGGACAATAAGCATGGATAAGTATGAAATTTATATTGAAACGACAAAAAATTTTGAAATAATTTTTGTCGTTTTCAGCATAAATTCCATCTCGCAAACACGTATTAATGCGTATAATTTAATCCTGGAAAAGAATTTCGATTCTTTAAAGAAGGAAAAAAGTAATTGTTACACAAAAATTATGATTTGGTTGGTTTTAGGTATAGATGAGTACGTTTAGCCAATTTATGAGAACGATTGATTTGTTTTGTTAACGAATTATAAATATTTTTTATC